GGGGGGGGGGTGGCTGGAAAATGCGAATAGAAAGGGGATCACGGCACGTTCTCGCCCCTCGCCCCGTCCCGTGTGACCCCCCGCCGTTTCCGCGGTCCGCGGGGTCTTTCAGAAGACCGAGAACACCAGCGTCGTTGGTCGGTACACCACTTGCGGGCTTGCGGGTCGGTCTGTAAGGAAACACATCCACCTCTCCTCACTGGCGCTTTCCCAGCGTGGATGCTCAGTGCTCGGCAGCACAAGCAGCGCCGCCCGAAAGCTTTTTCTTGTATTGAGAGAGTGCGAATTCCTCATTTTATGACATGCGCTTTGGTAAGATTCGTGATGGTCAGCCCCCCCCCCCTCCCCCTCTCTTTTACACACACGCGCTCGCGCGGTCTCTGGCCGCCGGCGGCGAGGCAGCAGGGCAGCAGACCCTGGGCGCCATCAGTTGACTGGAAACCGTCGGGGACCGTGCGGAAATTAGGGGTCGTTCGCGAATGGCATTCATATGGATGTCGAGCCAGCAGAGACCGCAGCCAATTTAACGGCACCCCTCCCTTGTTGTTGTCCTCCAGGTGGAGCCCGAAGGCGAGCTGCCGGCCGCGAGCCGCACGCTGTTCCTGGAGCTGGTGCGCCAGAGCAATGCCGCCTGCCAGACGAGGGACTTCGCCAAGGCCGTCGTCCTCTACTCCGAGGCCCTGCAGCTCGACCCCAACAATCACGTGCTGCACTCCAACCGGTCGGCTGCGCGGGTCAAGCTGGGCCAGTTCGCCGCCGCGCTACAGGACGCCACCCGGGCGAGGGAGCTCAACCCCAAGTGGCCAAAGGTGACAACCCAATTACATCCCCCTATATTTTACTCGTTCTTCTACCTCCAATAGGGTAGGAGGTAAAAAATGAGTACAATATTGCTATAGTGTAAGTAAGGTCCTCTATCGACTCAGAAACTACTACAACAGCTACTACCGTGCAAATACAGGGTGGTCCATAGACCCCTTCATTTATTTCGCTGCTTGTACTGTTCGGACCGCATGCTCGCATGCTGGCGTTCGGGCAGAGTTGCCCACCGCAGCTCACCACAGGGCCTTATGGCCCCGTGTGAGTATGCAACATGTAACCCACCCGCCGACTGCATACAGTATAAGCAAAATAAATGAAGGGGTGTATGGACCACCCTGTGCAACCTAATGTGGTGTATTAATCAAAAATTAATAATAATAGTGGGTTTTTTTAAAACTTAAATTTCATAGAAATGTCGGGAATAATACCCTACTAGACGCGATTGCGGACCATGCTTTTCGAGGAAGACGTTTAACACACTAATATATTTGACAATGTAACATAGAAATGGGTTTGTTAACTATATTTGTTTGGTAAAATGGGGTGTAATTAAAGCTGGATTAACGATAGGCACGCTGCCAGCGTAAATAGGGCGAGTAAACAACGCTCCCCGCACAACTTCCCTCGCCGCATCTACGCTCGCAGCGTTCCTATCGTACTTGTTTTTGGTAATTTGTAATTCCCGTTGGTCATTCCCTCACCAGGCATACTACAGGCAAGGTGTCGCCCTGCAATGCCTGGGCCGCCACGGCGACGCGCTCGCCGCCTTCAGCTCGGGATTGGCTCAGGATCCCAAGTCCGGCCAGCTCTTAGCTGGACTGATGGAATGCTCAGTGAAGAGCCCCCTCAGAGGTAAGTCCCACTTCAACGACATCAGAGAAAAGCATCTACAGGACTTAGACTGATTTGATTTCTGTTCTCTTAGCCAAGCTCGAACCAACTTTCCATCAGCTAGAGGAAATGAACCTCAACACGTCTCCGTTTGTAATAATTTCTGTCGTGGGCCAAGAACTGCTGGGCACTGGGCACTACTCTGCAGCCGTTGTGGTGCTGGAGGCCGCTCTGAGGATAGGCTCATGTAGTCTAAAGCTCAGAGGTTCTGTCTTTTCAGCTCTTTCCTCAGCCTACTGGGCACTTAATTCATTAGAAAAGGTAAATGGATCGGAAATATACAGATCTGCAGAAAAAAAAATAGAAACATCTAATACAACAGTTATATTATTTTTTATCAGGCAATCAACTATATGCAACAAGATTTGGCTGTGGCTAAAAGTCTCGGAGATATAGCAGGAGAATGTCGAGCTCATGGGAATTTAGGATCGGCATATTTCAGTCAAGGTTCATTCAAGGAAGCTTTAACGTCCCATCGATACCAACTTGTACTTGCCATGAAATGCAAGGATTCTCAAGCTGCTGCATCAGCCCTTACTAGTCTAGGTATTTTAATACATCTGTTGATATTCTCCACACCTATTTTCTTTGTGACATTCACTGGTAATGGAACAAAATTTGTCTTCTATAGGACACGTTTACACAGCAACAGGAGACTATCCCAATGCCCTTGCTTCTCACAAACAATGTGTTCAGCTTGTGAAACAAATGGGTGATAAATTGCAAGAAGCAAGAGAAATTGGGAATGTTGGTGCAGTTTACTTAGCAATGGGAGAGTTTGAGAGTGCTGTTGACTGCCATACGCAACACTTAAAACTTGCAAGACGGCTTGGTAACCAGGTAGGAGTTTCTGAAATGCTGTGACAATTACTTGTGATTTGAGATTTGACTTTTATTAATACCACTAATTTTTCAGGTTGAAGAGGCCCGTGCATACAGCAATTTAGGATCATCACATCATTATCGGCGCAATTTTTCTCAAGCTATTACATTTCATGAAAATGTGTTAAGAATAGCTCAAGAATTAGGTGACCGTGCAATAGAAGCAAGAGCTTATGCAGGTCTAGGGCATGCTGCAAGATGTGCTGGAGATTATCAGCAAGTAAGGAAAATGAAATGAAGACATCTCATGTCCTATGTGTGATAATGTTGCTGACTACAACCTTCTCTTTTGTCATTTTTCAGGCAAAGCGCTGGCATGAAAGGCAGTTAGATATGGCTTTATCCACTAGGGATAAAATGGGTGAAGGAAGAGCCTGTTCTAATTTAGGAATAGTTTATCAGTTATTAGATGATCATGATGCTGCACTTAAATTGCATCAAGCTCATCTTAGTATTGCCCGATTGCTTCAAGATAAGGCTGGTATGGGTCGTGCATATGGAAATATTGGCAATGCCTACAGTGCAATGGGTTATTATGAGCAGGTAAACAACTATCTATACATATAATTTACCACTTTGATCCTCTTTTTTTCCTCCAATCAACTCATTATATTTTGACAGGCAATAAAATATCATAAACAAGAATTGACAATATCCAAAGAAGTAAACGATAGAAGCTCTGAAGCATCAACACATGGAAACTTGGCGGTTGCTTACCAGGCATTAGGTGCTCATGAGATGGCGCTTCTTCATTACCGTGCTCACCTGAACATAGCACGAGAACTAAAGGATTCTGCTGGTGAAGCGTGTGCTCTTTTGAATCTGGGAAACTGTTTGAGTTCTAGAGCAGAGTTTGCGCAGGCTGTTCCTTATTACGATAACTACCTTATGCTATCACAGGTAAGATTCTCAAAACTGAAAACCCTCCATTATATTACTTCTTTGGAGAGTCACATTTGATGTTTTGATTTTTGTGTTTCAGGAGCTTCACGATATAGAGGGTGAAGCTAAGGCTTGTCATTTTTTGGGCTATGCTCACTATTGCCTAGGAAATTTCCGTGAAGCAGTACGATATTATGATCAAGATTTAGCCCTTGCCAAAGATTTACAAGACAAAATGAATATGGGACGAGCATACTGTAATTTAGGATTGGCACATCTTGCTTTAGGAAACCTTGACACTGCATTGGAATGTCAGAAATATTTCCTTGCAATTGCTCACATGACAAAGCATTTGCCAGGGAAATTCCGTGCACTTGGCAATATAGGTGATGTTTTAATTCGAATGGGAGACGTAGAAGAAGCCTTAAAAATGTATCAAAGACAGCTTTCAATGGCAAGACAAGGAAATGACCGAGGGCTAGAGGCTGCAGCTTATGGTGCTTTAGGTTTGGGGCACCGGCTATTAAGGTGTTTTGATAAAGCTCTTGGGTATCACACCCAAGAACTGACACTTCGTCAAGAAATGAGTGATTTGAAGGGAGAATGTCGTGCACATGGGCACCTGGGGGCAGTGCACATGTCTCTTGGAAATTATACAAATGCAATTAAGTGTTACCAAGAACAATTAGAACGTGCCAAAGAGCTAAGGGACAATGCTGTTGAAGCTCAAGCATTTGGAAATCTGGGAATAGCCCGATTGAACATGGGTCATTACGAAGATGCTATTGGCTACTTAGAACAACAACTAGCTACACTTCAACAACTTTCAGCTCCCACAGCATTATTTGATAAGGGTCGAGCATTTGGAAATCTAGGAGATTGCTATGATGCCTTAGGTGATTTTGAAGAGGCTGTGAAATGCCACGAGCAACATTTAGCTATAGCCCTGAAACTGAAGAGTGCAAGAGATCAGGAAAGAGCATATCGAGGACTGGGACATTCTCACAAAAGTTTAGGAAATCTTCAACAAGCACTAGTCTGTCTTGAGAAAAGGCTTGTAGTTGCTCATGAAATGAACAGTGCAGAAGCTAAGGCTGCTGCTTATGGAGAACTTGGCCATATTCATCGTACTCTTGGTAATTATGAACAGGCAATATCCTGCCTTGAACATCAACTTGGTATTTCAAGGGACCTTAAAGATAGAGTCCTGGAGGCTGAAGCCTCTTGTGGGCTCGGACAAGTTCACCAACACATGGGTGAATATGCCTCTGCCCTTCGATTCCATCAAATGGATTTGGATATTGCTCTAGATCTAGGTTTACCAGCTCTGCAAGGAAGAGCATATGGAAATCTAGGTACTGTTCATGAATCATTGGGTAATCTTCAGGAAGCTATTCGTTATCAGGAACAACATCTTTCTGTTGCATCTCAAACCAACGATAAAGTTGCAAAGACAGTGGCCTTTAGTAGCCTTGGACGAATCCACCATGCCCTCGGCAATACAGCACAAGCCGTAGGATACTTACAACAAGGACTACAAATGGCTGCTCATCTAGGAAGGAGAGAGGAAGAGGCTCGAATTCGACATCGTCTTGGTCTCGCATTGTGGGGCCATGGTGACCTAGAAGGAGCTCAAACACAATTGGAGCAGGCAGCACATCTACTTGAAGCAATACGAAGAGAGGCCCGTGGTTCAAGTGATTACAAGCTTACCCTGTTTGAACTTCAGACTGCATCTTATCAAGCTTTGCAAAGAGTTTTGGTGGCAATGGGACGGCCTGAGGAAGCACTCTTAGTAGCTGAAAGAGGAAGGACTAGAGCTTTTGTTGATCTCCTTCTGGAACGACAAGGATATGGTGGACAGTCAGTTGCAAAGAATGGCCATAATTCAGTAATATCAATTGTTCAACCCTCAGGAAATGGAACCAACTCTGGCACGGATGCAATAACGGCTGCAGCAATTGCCTCTGCTAGAGTGGACGATTGTACACCAATGTCAGTGGATCAGCTTGTGGACATTGTCAATCGACAGAAAGCATCAGTTCTTTACTATTCCTTAGCTGCAGGTTACCTTTATGCTTGGTTCATTGTACCTGGAAAAGGTAACATTTCTAGTTGTTCTTCTTTTGGTTTAATAAATATTGCTGTCTAATACAAATTTTATTGATTGAGAATCCTTTCATATTTTTAGGTGTTGTTAAATTTCATCAAGTGTCTATTAGTGAAGGTGATGAGCATGGCCCAGACAACAATACTGAGGGAACCTCATCAGGATCGCTGTTAGAGCATTACATCCAAAGTGTTCGAGAGAGCTTGGGTGTAGAGCTACAAGCAGCTAATATGACAAGGTAGTAACCTTTACTTGTATTTGTTTTTTCTCAATATATGTACGGATTTACCTGTACCCAGAACTTCTAATCCTTTTTTTTTAAATCTCATTTTTTTCAGTAACCCTGATCAAGAGGACCCTGATTCAGCCGATTTGTGGTCTCAGCACCTAGAGGATGTTGGAGACAGAGCTAGTTTTCTGCGCATGGTTAATAGAAATCATATTTTCAATTCCAGCAATTACAGTCTCAGCAGTCTATTCAGGTTGCGTATTAATTTAAACCATCTAAATTATTCTCTCATTATGTATATAAGAAGTCTAATCTAAAAAATAAATTCTAGTCTTGGAAGTGTTGGTGGAAGTGTGGCAAGTGGGCCAGCCTCACGTCCGGGCAGTACAAGATCAAGGAGACCAGCTACAACACAGTGGCAAGGACCATCATGTCTAGCTGCTTTGTACCAATTACTCATCGCTCCATTTGAAGATTGTCTCCCATATAGTGGACCAAAATCATCATCTGGTTCAGGTAAATACTGTTTGATTGTTTTGCATGGCAACTGTTAACAATATCTTTATTTTCAAACTGATTTTTTTTCCCTATTTCGCCAGTTAAGGGAAGTGGTTTTGGACGGCGTGAAATTCTTTTAGTACTTGAAGGTGATTTATACCTAGTGCCTTTCCCTGTTCTGAAGCCCAGTGGGGGCATGACAAACCTTAGTGATGAGGGGCCTGGAGTCTCCACTGAATATTTGTGTGAAAGATTTAGTCTATTGGTAGTACCATCACTAACAGCTCTTCGAGCAAATCAGCGCTCAGCCAGGGCAGCCATGTTAGCTGCTGCCAAAAACAGTGAGGGTCAGCAGGCACAGGGTGCGCAGGGCTCCAATAGTATGTCAGCTCTTGTTGTTGGGAACCCCCGTTTGCCAAGTTGTGTCACTGAACAGTGGGGCTGGAGTGACATACCATATGCTGAGCAAGAGGCAGCTATGGTTTCAGAGATGCTTCAAGTCAGTGCTCTAACTGGGACACAGGTGAGTTAGAATATTCTCATGGGAGCTTAGTTCTGTTTAAAGTTCAGATTACATTATAAACATTTCTTCAGGCAAACAAGGAATCAGTGCTTCAGAAGATTTGTAATGCAGAATGTGTACACTTAGCAACTCATGTGTCATGGAAACTATCAGCAATAGTTCTCTCACCGGGTGAAGTGTTGGACTCCCAGTCATCAAAACCTAGCAGTGGAAGATTCTTTGCAGGTGGTCAGTCCAATGGTTCAGAGGGTAGCCAAGAAGCTTGTGATGAAGAAGGATCTGAAGTAAGTATTTACCATGAAATTTATTATCTCCAATACATTGAGATTTTAAGAAAGAAAAATAAAAAACAAAACACCCACACAACTTTCCTCCTTTTCCAGCTTTCGTCCACTCTTGAGCTACCTTCAATGTCAGAATTCCTTCTGACAGCATCTGACTTGCTGAGTTTGCGACTCACTGCACGATTAGTAGTAGTCAGTTCAAGCCATACAAGAGACCACCATGGCTGGGCCAATGCAGATGGAGTTATAAGCCTAACAAGAGCACTTCTAGCAGCTGGTGCGCAATGTGTTCTTGTTTCTTTGTGGCCAGTACCAGACACAGCTACAAAAATTCTGCTGCGTGCTTTTTATTCTGCTCTACTGCAGGTTTGTACCTAATCAAACCATATCAAGTAAACAATGTAATAGTAGCTAGTTTCTCATCCTCTTTTCTGTAAATTCTAAGGGTTCGCGGGTGAGTAAAGCTCTTGCCGAGGCCATGCAAACAGTTCAACACACTAAACATTTTGCCCACCCTGCCAATTGGGCAGGTTTTGTCTTGGTTGGTGCTGATGTAAGGCTCTCCAATAAGGTGGCACTCATGGGCCAGGCATTGTGTGAACTTTTAAAAACGCCAGAGAAGTGCCGAGACGCACTTCGCGTTACATTACATTTGGTAGGTGAAATTTTAAAATTGTACTATGTTTGTACATGTCTGTCATGTACTTGTGGAACAAAATTCATTTCTGTTTTATTTCTAGGTGGAGAAGTCACTTCAGCGTATTCATCGAGGACAAAAGAATGCAATGTACACCACTCAAAAATCTATTGAAAATAAGGTGGGGTCTGTTAGTGGCTGGAAAGATCTTTTAATGTCAGTTGGCTTTAGGTTTGAGCCAGCTGCCAATGGCATTCCTTCTTCTGTTTTCTTCCCTCAAAGTGATCCTGAGGAAAGACTAACTCAGTGCAGTGCTAGTCTACAAGCACTCCTTGGTATGACCTTGCTCATAATTTCCACAAATTTTCTGAAAATATTAATTGAAGTTAAACAAGAACTATTCTTACTGTTTATTTGATCATGCAGGACTCACAGGAACGTCACTTTCAGCACTTTCAAAATTGATGTCAAATGTAGAGGTTGCTGATGACATAATTGGAGTTGTCCGTCAAGTTATTGGACAGTTCAGCATGAAGAATGTTGAAGCAGAAAGCATTGAGGTACCCATTGGTGTTAAACTGTGGCAAGTCCCGGGTTGTCATGAACTGCTGGCTTCTTTAGGTTCGTACTTAAACTGCTGAAAATTTTCCTACAAAAATAATTTTTAAAAGTACATATACAGTATTATCTCATTTTCAATGTTTACAGGTTTTGACCTAATGGAAGTAGGAACTGATGAGGTAACACTACGTACAGGAAAACAGGCTAATAGACGTAATATTCAATTTGTTCTTCAAGCTCTTCTTGCCTTGTTTGGTATGTGTCAATTTTATGAAAAAATGAAAAAAAAAATGTTTAAAAATGGGTGATTTTTAAAATTATATGAACTCTTTTTTTTTTTTACTTAGATACTCAAGAGGCACCAAAGAACTTAAGTATAGATTCATCTAGCTCTCTTGAGAGTCTTGACTCCCTAGATGCAGGTGGAGATGATGACATACTGGATAGGTCAAGCCCAACAAATATTGGTGGAGACATTGGACCCCCTCCTCTACCCCCTCCACCATTGCCTGTAGTCCCGACCAGACCAAGACCCTTACCTCCCCCAGGGCATAGAGCAACAGTTACTGCTTTTACAAGTTATGTGAGGAGAAGAGGTGAACCAGACGGCCGCACTGCTAATGCTGGGGAAAGTACAGCCACTCCCTTACCGAAGGTAGGTTTCTTGCTTTACAACAAGCCTGATATCTTTTGCTCCAGTAATTTATGTCATATTGGATGAGCTAAAATACTGTTTTCTTCTCAACAGCCAATTATAACTACACCTTCATCAAATAGTAACAATCGGCTTTTGATTGGACGCCCAGGTGGTGGTGGGGAAAGCGATGCTGCTTTCACCCCTAGTCCACCTGTAGGGACTCATAACTCCTCAAGTGCTGATTTGAGTTCTTGTGTTGCCACACTCACTCTTGCTCACCAGAACAGAATTCGCACTCTTTATAGCAACAATAATAATAACGAAGGTAATTAAGTACTGCACTCATGTTAAATAATTCTTAAGGCCAACAACTAGATTGGTAACATATTTCTACCTTGTTATCAGGATCTTCACCAATTGCTGATGGAGCAAGTAATTCAACTCTCCCACTTGCTGTTGCATACCACCACAGACGTCCAGATTCCTCAAGCTCAGCAAGTTCAGCAACTGACTGGGAAGGAAATGGACACAGCACTGTCTTAAGAAGGGTTGGAAACATGGCATCAAACCATCCTCTGCCTCCCCTTCCACCAATGCCAACAACACGCCAAGCTCCACCTCCTCCTCCACCAATGGTTGACCCACTCCATCCGTTACCCCCTCTAATGTACAATAATGCCATAGGGTTTGATTCTCCAAGCTCTGATTCAGACTTCGGATCAAGTGTTCATGCAAAGGCCCATTCCACTCCAAAGTCCTCATACAGGGGCATCAGATCGCGTAATAGCAAAGCTCCTCCAGTTAATCAAGCAACCATGCCTCTAGATAGACTCAGTGTCAGAACTGAACTGACTAACTGCAACAATGTAGAAAGAAGAAAACCGATGATTTCTCTCGCTCCCAGTGATGATGGTGCTACAAATGCACTTCAATCTACTGAAACAGCTGCCCTCTTCTTCCAGGGGCAAGTAAAAGAACAAGCTGCTGGTCAAACCAGTTCATGTGTCTCTTCTGGAGACCCAACAAGACCAGGCGCTGGCATTCAAGATCAAATTATGGCCTCACAATTGAGGCACCTTAACAGGGAGTTGACACCTACAATTTCTGATGTGTATCATGAAAGGCCCCTTGGCTTGGGTCTAGCACCACCGTTATCACAATTACTGACTGCAAGAAATCTTCAAGAGTCCTTACGGGAAGCTGATGATGGTTTGGATAAATTAGGCTTAATGACTTCCACAATTTCTGAAGAAAATTCAAGCTGCAGCAGTAAAACAACTGAAGGGTCTACTAAAGCTAAACCATGGCTATCTTCAGCTGCTCTTCAAAGATTTTACCATGCAGAAGGTGGTGATATTTTAAGCGCAGACCGCGAGCTGAAAGCTCGTTCCACTGGATCTCCTTGCAGTGAGCTCAGCAGACGTGATGAAGGGGATGGACGGTCTATCGCTGATTCCCAGTGCAGCGCCGGTAGCTACAAAAAGCCCTGCAGTGTTAGTGCAGGGTCTCATCGTAGCAAAAGCAGTTCAAGTTGCTTTTACTCCCAAGACATAGAGGAAACAAAAGAAGAGTGTGCTAGATCCCTAAGCAACGTTTCTGAGCAAAGCACGGTTGACCAGACACCCAGTATTCCTGCTGTGCCTATACCCCGGATGCGCTCATCGAAACACCATCCACCTCCACCTCCACCCATACCAAATACGAGAAAAGCTTTTCCAGGTGGATTTATTCCCATGTCACAGAAAACATCATCTCCGCCATCTAAATGTTGAACCATTGTTTATCTTCTCGTTATTTGTTTGAAGCATAGTTTGCTTATGTTCTCAAAGAAGAAATTATGTTTTGTCAGTCAAGTTCATTGATAAAACGATTCAAGTCAGTCGAGGATAATTCCTGAATTGTCTGTGATAATAGAAGTTTAAGATTTTCCACATGTGTATTGCCAATTAATTGAGTAGAAATATAATTACATTTTCAATTTATTTCTACATTGTTTATGTCTAAAGCAATATATTGTACAAAATACAAAATGAAATGTAATATACTGTATAGCTTAGGAATAAATTGCAGTTGAAGGAAAACTGACCATACCAACCATGTCATCACAATAAAATAACATATAAAATTACAACTCTAAAATAAAAAATATCTAACGTCCTATAGAGGTCCATTTCGAACTACTTTCTTGGGGATGCGTGGTCGGTGAAATACAGTCCCTGACTTGCTGTTCGACCGAAGATCACACAACGATGATGCTTTCTGTAGTTTATTTAACCCAAGTGCTCTGTGAGGAAGTGACAATTCTGAATCTGAAGCCATACCATCATTGATGTCATCATCAAACTCCCGCAAGCTGTTGCTTGAGACGAGTGGTTTCTGAAATGAAAGCCACAATAGTAAGTAGGAGCTATTTAGAATTATTTGGAATACTTAACCGACCTGGTAAAGAGATACTCACCCTAGGGCTACGAAGTAACTTCTTCCAAGGGGCCCTTTCAATTTTAGACTTGGCAGTTCTTTTTATGGGAGATGGCAAGAAGGTTGGTGCCGGTATAGGACCATAGGACCGTCGGGAAGGAGTTTGACCTGCATAATTTCAATAGCCAAGTTATGTAAGTTTTTCAATACTTAAGAAAAACCAAAAGAGAACAATATAGAAACAAAATAGCTGACCAGTTGGGGTATCTTGTTGAATTTCTGAAGACAAAATGCTCACTATTTCTGTTTTTCCCATTTCAAAACGTTCTTGGATTTCTATGTTGGCTGACTTCATACCATCAATGAACATGCCCAAGAGTTCATCTTCTTTCTCTTCAATAACAGATTTTACTTGATTGATTCCTTCATGGTTTGAAGTAAATGTCTTAGATGCCTCAATAGTTTCTTCAGCAACAGTCTGTTCAGGTGAGATAAGTAATAAATATAAATAAGTAATAAAGCAATAAGACAGAAAAAGATAGAACCAAAGTTTAGAGCTTACATTTACGGAATCACGTGCTGATTGAAGCTGGGCTGCACTTTCAGAAGACATGTCTTTACATTCAGATATTATTTGGGTAATGGAGGGATGCCTATCAGAATCCAGCAGACTACTGACATCGTCTTTACATTTACTTCCAACTGTGCATAGATCATACACTGTATTGCTCATCTGTAATTATAGTAGACCATTTAAATGAGTGTATATGCATGAATAATACAAATGTCAAACTGAATACTTCAGTGGCAACACAAACTTACAGTGTTAAATCTGTTGCTTATTCCAGCTTCCAGAGACACTGCAAATGGCTCTAAAGCATTTTTCAGTTCTCTGACAGGGGACAAAATTTTGTTTTGCTGCTGTGTCAAATAATCAGCACTGTCACACATTTTCTGCTTAATTTCACATACTTTGCTCTCTTTCCTCTCATGACTGTTTTGAATGTCCAGCCTATGTTTATTGATTTCCTCTTTGGCGGCTGAAATGTGTTGGGCAATTGCTGATCTTTTCTCACGCGTCACCTAGGGATGAAAGTAAAACAGGTTTCACAAAATGAAGAATGGCATCTGCGTTTTCAAATTATCCTAAATAAGTAATAAGAACCAGAAATAGTCAAATGTAAAAGATAAAGGTGGGCAGATACCTGTTGATGATGACATAGTTTCAGCATTTCTTCTTTTAACAAGAGCTCATCTAAATGTTTTTTAATAGTTTCAATATTTATTTCAGATACAGACAAAGCAATATTATGTTGTGATTCAATTTCGTCCGTCTGCTTCTGAATGTCCAGCTTTAACTTTTCAACCTAGGGCAAAGAAATAACTCCTTCAATTAGAAAGTAAATGTAATCATGTGACTTGTGTGTTTTCAGTACTCACACTCTCACGAGCAAAATCAAGGAGAGAAGAACTTTGACATGGTAGAAGAACCATAAATTTGTTAAAATCTGTTACGGCATCACTCAGCAACTGCTCAATAGACTTCAAAATTTTTATTTCTTCAAGGTGAAAAGTCACTAAGCTAGATCTGCTCCCATCAGCCATGGTCTGATTATGTGCACGCTAAATATGAGAAAGGAAGAAAAGGCATCAGCTGAGTGTACAAGTAGTGAAGTGTATCAAGATAAATATAATATACTATTAAGTGACTTACATGTTTTGCTAACAGTTCTTGGACATTTGAACTAGTTGAAGCTGTTTTCTTGAGCTGCTCACGAATTTCTTGAAATAATAAATTAAGGCGCATTTTGGCATTACTGTTTAATGTGTCTGAAACAAATTTTAGCTTAGGAGTAGTATGTGTTGATTATATTAGGTAATTCAAATTGATACAAGCCCTCATGCGAATGTAGATAATGGCAAACTCACCAACAGCATCTGAAAGTTTCAAGAGGAGCTCCTCAGATTCAACAAAGACATTTGACAACTTTGCAACCGAAGTTCTGTAGAACTCTGCTCTTTCTTTACACTTTTTCACCACTACTGCATTTTCTGAGATCACAACTCTGGATAAAATAATTAAAAATATAGAGAAAATAGAATAAACATTATTTCAAAAGGATGTGAAATAGTATACCTTGAAAAGTCAAGTTTATTGTGGATTTTCTGGGTGTCATTGTGAGCTGAGTCAATTACTTTCACATATTGTTCAGCCTGTTCCCTTATCTCTTTCTCCTTATTCGTCACATCTTCTAAAACTTTCCCAGCACTATTTTGTTCAGTTTGGGCATCAAGACGATCCATGTGGGCCGTCTTAATTTCCTCTCCTGTTTGTAAAATAAGTTGATTGACTTGTTCAAGATTTTTTTGCTTGTTATCTTTGTCTTTAAACAAAACCAAGAATATTTCCTAAAATCAAAGCAGAAATGTTTAAGTTAATCAAAGGAACAGTAATGAGGAAACAGTGCTGTAAGTTAAGCATGTTATGAGATTACTTCAGCATCCTTCTTTTTTTGAGCAACAGCACGAGCTTGTGCAATTATTTGACAAATTGTTTGGTTTCTTGCTTGCGTTTGCTCCATGACTTGCTTGTAGTTCTCATCATTAACATATACACCAGAACCATTTCTGTGTCGTTCCAGTTTTTTCTTCAAACTTTCTATTACATCTGTGTATTCCTGAAATAGAGTAACTATAAGTAGTACTTGTCTCAGTACAGTAAAGAAGATCTGATAATACTTGTACTTACCTTCATTATAACATTTTGAGAAACTTTCTGATTGACCTCAGGTTTATTTGAAACACTCTTGGCTCTGTGCGCATAGTCCAGTGTGCTAATTGTTTCTTCAGCATTTAAATGTGAAGGAGAGATGGTTGCAATTAAAGATGTTTTAGTTCTTCCACCCAATGAGTCTTGAAGAAGTCTGGTCAATTTTGACTCCCTATAGGGTACATGTGGTTGGTGTTCCACTAAGCATGATGTAACTCTACTAAGAGTAAGTAGTGATTGGTTGATGCTCGCAGCTTCCCGTGCTCTTTTATCAGAAGATCCAGATCTACCAATATTTTCACTGCCAGCTAAGTCAACAAGATTTAGCTTTCCTGTTCGCAGAAATTCTCCTCCATCTGCCGAATTTTCTTTGAAATGAACAGTCACTGTAAAAATAGTGTGTGACCGGCTGAATAGAGGAAAAAACACAGAGGGTTAATGTGAAATAAAATTTGGATTGGTATTAACAATTAAGGAAAGGATAAATATTTACCTGGATTGAGCATTCATTAGAGTGGCTGCCACCTGTCTCTTAGCAGACCCTTTATGAAGCTCATCTAAGACCTGTGACTGAGTGTGAACCATGACCTCCTGCAGTCCTTGAACAAGAACAGACCCTTTTCTAGAGGCATCATCAAATAACCTGAAACGAACACATGTTATGCATAAACTAGGTATTTCAATTTGGTTTCAATGCTTCACAATTGACTTCATATACCGGAGTTTTGGAGGAACTTCATCAGAAGAAAGAAGATCATATAACTCTTCATTATAGAGTTCCATTAAAGATATGCGAACTGTGTACTCAGCTTGAAGAACACGCAGCTCATCAAATAAGGCACACATAGCTCTAGGGATGAGACCTGCGTTTGACTCCTGAAAAAGTAGAATTGAAGGAAAGTTCTATGGAAGCTGCTAAGACACGCACTAATAAGAGAACAGTTGCCTTACAGGAGAGAGACGTTTTGGAGTACCAAAATCTCCTTCCATAGTGAAAGTCTTTCCACTGCCTGTTTGACCATAAGCAAATACGGTGCAGTTGAATCCAGCCAAAACATCTGATATCAGGGGCTCCACGACATTTTGGTAAACTTCACTCTGCAAAGACGAGATAATATAAGGAACTCATTTGGCAGACAAGTTTCAAACTGAAAATACGCACCTGAGGAGTCGATGGACCAAACACCTTATCAAATGAGAAAGTTTTAGTTATCTTGGAGTTACAACGGTCTTGAACAACAATCTCTTTCTGACCATTAATATCAACTGCTGAGATGCCTCGTTGATTAACTTCACTTGCACTCAGCGGCCTAAACAGATTCAAAGTGGAAACATTGATGACACACAGAAAGTAAAAAACACCTGTCATTTGATTGTATTCAAATTGTAATCCAACTTAAAAATTATGAGTCTAACCTGCATCGAACGAACACCTGTAAATTCTGGTTCTTTTGAATTTTGGGTGCAGGCTTGGGTTTACGAGCCGACATCTTGACACAAATCTGAACTCCGAAGAAAAACGTAAACTATTGGACTGACAATATTAACAAAACGACTTAGCGCCGGACAAAACGCAATCAATCCGCACCATCCATTCAAATTTGAACGACACAACGGTCGACGGCGGTTGCCGGTGAAAACACAAAACAGAAAACACGCGACACGCGCTCGCTAGAGAGCGCTTAAGTCACGCAGTGTTACCCCTCGGCCCTCGGTTTGATTGAAAACAGTTGCGAAAGTGGTGTATTCGATGAGGCGAAAAGTATTACAATGAAAGAGAGGCTTACCGATTTATTCGTGCCGTTAAGTTTGAATGAGGTAAATGTGTTTCTTCACATGTCACCGGGTCTTGTGGAACTGTTGTACAGCCTGGGGTATGTATCCAACCTTGCGAAACTCGTCGTTTTACGTCATTCAGGTCTAATTCGGTATAAATTTTCACAGTTTTAGGAAAACATTTGAAAGCATAATTTTTTATCTTGCGTCAGGGTTTTAGTCATGATAAGAGTTTTTGGTTTGTTACTCTAACGTACCCTGGCCTGTATTTTAATTAAGTTTTGGATACGTGGCGAACATGCTCGACCAGTCACCTAGCAAATTCCGTCGTTGTCGTCGTTGTATGTCTGCTGCCGAGTGAAAATTGTGTTTATGTTGCTATGTTCCATTTTTTCCTAATCTGTTGAAGACCAATGAGCGGCCATCGGTTCCTTTTAAGGGCAGTTTTTCTGTGATTATGGTGTTATCTATGTTATTCACTAGGACTATGAGTATCATCAAGCTCCGTGTGGAGTGTCTATGATGTGGGACCCCCTGACCTCCCCTCGCAGTCCTGATATGGGGTCAAAGGCTTCGAAATCGGAGAAAATTTACGAATTCAAACCTTTTGATTTTCGACTTTGTGCCGATGATGACTCTACTGTCGGACCGTTCCCCAAACCGCGAAGTGGACATCGAATCGTTTGTGATTCATCTAATCTGTATTCCTTTGGGGGATACAATCCATACATCTCAGATTCCGATGAAGATTTAAAAGATGACCCTGCCTGGCAAACTTGCAAGCCATTGTTTCAAGAGCTATGGAAATTCAATTTTGCAACATGCAAGTGGCGGAAGCTTCCCTGTCATTCTTCCATGCCGAAGGAGCTGGCTTCGAACGCAGTAATTTTAGATGGAGGAATCTTATTGGTCTATGGCGGAACTGGTGTCCCATTTGGGTTTAAGTGCAGCAATAGTCTTTATTACTGTGACCTGTCAAGAGGAACAGAAATGAAGCCCGTGACACCAGTGAAGTCAGGTTCAGAACCTACCTCTCAGTATGGTCAGGCATTAGTACTGAATGGACACTGGTTGTACACAATGGGTGGGACGACAGGATTTGTGTACAATTCTGATGTACATCGATTCAACCTGCGAACTTCAGAATGGGAAGAGGTCTACATTTGTAAAGGACTAAGTAGACATGAGCCTCAAGGACGGTATAGACATGAGCTTGCATTTGACGGCCAAAAAGTGTATGTTCTGGGTGGCGGAACTGCTACTGAATCTTATGGCTTTGAGGTAGGTTTCATCAAAAAGTCACAGTACAGTATCACACTACAAATTAACTCAAGTACCCTATTAAAATTTTCCAATTTACTCATGTTTCAGGAAATTCCAGCTCTGGATTTGGCAACTTATAGTTGGGAAACTATAGTGACTAAACCAGATTTGAACTTTAATTATCCTACAGCTCGACGCTGTCATGGTTGTGTCCAACTGCCTCCTGAGGGTGATGCGAAGAAAGGTTCTGTGATAATCAGTGGTGGCTACAATGGTCAAATGATGTTTGGAGATGTTTGGCGTCTAGACTTGAATGACATGCAATGGCAATTCATGAAATGTTCATTACATCAACCTGTTTACTTCCATTCTGCTGCTGTAACACCAGCTGGGAAAATGTTTACATTTGGTGGAATACTGAACAATGGTATCCGTACCAATGAGGTGTGCGCTGCGTGGGTCCGTATTCCAAAGCTCTCTGAGATGTGCTGGGAAGCTATTCTGTTTTATAATCCTAGAGTTGCAACTCAACCCCGAAACAAACTTGTTAATATGGGATTTCCAAAGGAATTTGTTGATAGACTTGATGTCTGACAAAATTAGTTTCCAATTATTCTTCAAGAAATCAAAATTTAGAGTTCATTTTCCCCCCTAATTTGGAGGTTTGTAAATTTAATTTGTAGCAGTGAGTGACAAAAACATCCAATTTGCTTCTTTACCCCAATCGTTGTTTCAGAAATCTCCTGCATTTGTTTATTTTATATTCAGCTGCCAACAAAGTTTACCCTTCTTCCTTCAAATCAAAAATTCGTAATAGTCCTGTTAAACATGAGGTTTGGTTGGTTTTGATCAACAACTGAATGCGGAATTGTTACTCACTCCTCATTCTTGAGGGTGGTAAACTGTAGTACAATTTGTTAATTGACAAAATAGTGAAAGACAACATCAAGCTCAAAGTAAGCAAGAATTTAAATCAAAAAGAAATGTTTACGTAGCTCATTACGTTTTTTAACACAACCATTGGTTTCTTTACCAATTTTCATGAGCATTTTGTTGTAGCATGTTATGACACAATTTATTTTGTGCAGTATTTTCTAAACAAAACAAGCAGAATTCTTTTTTGGTGCCAATTTTGATAAATGAAAGTATACTCATCTTACTTTGTACGTGTGTTTATTTCAAAAATGGTGTATTTTGCTGAAATTCTATTGGATACTCTGTTTGTTTCCAACCATCACTGTTGTGACATAGGTAATTATCTAATTGCTTTTTTGTTTTTGTTGGTAAGTGATAGGTAAGAAAGATGTAATTTGAAAGATCTTTTGTAAAATTTTTGTTAAGTTTAGTAGTCACTGTTGTTAATATTATTCTTGTCAGTGTTAACCCTCTATAAGGTGATGGCTTATTAGTAACCATCACTAAAATCATATGTACATCATATCATAGGAAATGCAAGAAGAAAGCTAAAATAGTGTATGTGATTTAAATGCATCATGAATTTTATACAACCAACAGAATAATTGCAATCTATTGAAATATTTAACATTTCTGATTGTTAACTTTTGTACTGGTCAGTTGATATTTCTTTTTAAAGCGAGGTAATCTAATCTAATCTAATGCTGTATAGACTCTCCTCATCTTCTGAAGAAAAATTTGCTCTCTGCATTTTTCAAGAAAACTTTCAAAGTTCTTTTTTTCTATAAGTTGATACAAAATTTTTGAACTATTATGTACATTTTTTCTGAGACCGTTTTTCAGGAAAATACAAGATATTTGTATCCTATTTGATTATAAAATGGTAGAGTAAATTTTGTTGTAGAAGATTGAAAATACATTCAATTTATTGTGATCCTTTTGAAACCGTCTATGTACTGTACTTTTTCAAAAATAGCAAAATGTGAACTACACAACCATTTCACCCAACAAACTTTGAGAAAAATAATCTAATCATTTTATGTTTTGTTTCTGGAAGTGTAGAAGGGTGAAACTAATTTATAGCAATGACTGAAAGAACAGAGGCAGAATGCACTAACTAATCATTAAAGGTATAATTGTAAAGGAAATGTGCATAACACATTATATAAGCTATGATGATTTCATTTAGGAGTAAGAAAACTTAACAATTAAAGTCTAAGTACATATTTTACTCTAATAGGGTTCTTTTAAAAACAAAAACTACATATTTTTGGCAATTAAAAGTCGGATTTGTTATTCACTTACATCAACGCATTAAAGCAAATTTGAGATCATAAACAGACTGCTAAAAGAGTCGATACAGGACACACCATACACACACTAAGCGCAGAAACGAGTGTTATTGGCACAAAGTCTTATATGTTGCAAATGGTTCTTCCCCTACATTTAAATGACTGTGAGAAAGCGCATTCTCTTCGGTGTGGAGCACTACTAAATCAGATGGCGTCGATGTCGAGAGGCTCCGTGCTCACCGACGACGCCTTGCTAGCCTTACCGTTGACATCCTCCTTCCAGGAACAACCCGTGAAGAACTCCCCGACGGCGCGCAGGGGCGACAAGCGGGGCTTGGGCGAGCGCGGTGACACAGGCGAAGTGGGGGTGCGGGGCAGGGGCAGGGGCCCCGGCCTCGGCCCCGGCAGGGGGCTGCTTCGCGGGCTCCGCCGCGTTCTCCGCGGGAGGGGCGCGGCAAGGTGTCCGTCCTTCTCTGTGGCCACGGCGATCTCGGTGCCCGACTCAGATCCGGATGGGGAGGCCGACCCAAGGTCTGAAGCCGACCGGGACGGCGTCAGCGGCAGAGCGGGGGCGTAGCGGGGCTGCAGGGACCACACTGCGCAGCAGAACGACATCGTTACGGAGGTCCAGAGATAGTAAGTATGTATTTATAGAAAAAAAATCACAAATTTTGCATGGTTCATGTGAATGTTTTTGATCATTTTTAGACAGTCCCCGAGACCACCGAGACCTAAGACTGTCTTTTTCGGTTGTGGCATTCCAAGTTAGCCTAATCACAAGGGACGATTATTGAGCCTGACGAGCTGAGGGAGTAGTCAAACCCGGTCAACACGCTCACACAGGCGCGTGCAAAGAAACTCCTGGTACTTGAAATACCAATATCTGTTCCCGTTGAACGACGTGGGTCGGGGTCGGGGCTCTACTCACGGCTGCCGGTGCAGGTCCTGCTGATAGTAGACAGCGGGACCATGAGTCCCGGCACGGGCGAGGCGGACGGCGTGCACAGCACCACGTTGTTCCTCTGGAGGGCGAGCGGCGTGCGCGAGGCCGCCGACAGCGCCGTCACACCCGTGTTGCCGAAGTCCAGGGCTGCGTCTGGGCCCAGACCCGGGCCGACCAGCAGGGCGCGGAGGGCGGCGCGGAAGTCCTGCGGGAGGCCAAGGATAGGGTCAAGTCAAAGGTATGAGGAACGAGGAGACCCAGGTCGGCGGCGCACCTTGAGGTGGTAGGCGTACAGCAGCGGGTTGCCGGCCGAGTTGAGGTGGCTCAGGATGATGCAACAGTCGAGGACGGCGGGTGGCACGTAGCACTCCGGGCAGAAGGCCTGCACACAGTTGATGGTGTAGAGCGGGAACCAGCACAGCACGAAGAACAGGACGATGATGGAGAGGTTCTGGGTGGCCTTCACCTCGCGCTTGCGCGCCGCCCCCAGCACCCGGAGCATGGTGCCGCCCCCGCCGCCCGCCCCCACCCCGCAGACGGCCCCGCCGCGGATGCCCCCGCCGGGGCTCTGGCGCTCCATGCGGCGCAGCTGCGGACCGAGACACAGGCAGGATGAGCACGGGCACAGTTCGGACGCATCCATCTGCGCGCAGACACCCACCTGCTTGAGCACCACCTGGTAGATGTGCGCGTAGAAGGCGGCCAGGATGAGCGCGGGGAAGATGATGGTGAAGAAGTAGAGGAACACGAGGTAGTTGTAGTCCATGACGCGGGTGAAGTAGCACTGCTGCCCCTCGGCCTCGGGCCGGTGCCAGCCGAGCAGCGGCAGGAGGCCGACGAGCGTGCCCGCCACCCAGCAGACGCCGATGATACCTGTTGACAGTAGGAGGAGGGTCAGGTCTGGGCCGGGGCCATCCGGGCCCCTGGCGGGTAAGCACTAGGCAGTCCCGGCGCGCGCGCGTGCACCGCGGGCCGGCCCGCCCCGCGCTCGACAGGCGCTCCCCGCGCCGCCCCTCCCCGTGCCGCCCCTCCCCGCCGCCGGCCCCGCAGCCCTCTCGAGCCCTTCTCCTCCCCCCCACTTAGCATTCCTCTCGCTTCCTCCGGCCCTTCACCGCTGCTGGGAGCGACTGTCGACAAGCAGCAGCGGGCAGCTTAGCCTACCGCCTCAGAAGCCGAAGTGGGGAAAAAAGGCAGCTAGCGGTGGTTTTCGTCTTTGTTTTTTCCGCATCGCTGAAATCCCCGAACATTTTACCGCTCATCTGCCCCCACCCCCACCCCCGGCAGGCTGCCGCCGCCGGCCCGAAACGGTCACTTCCAAGACGCCAAATTGCGGTCGGAACGACGCCATATAGGAAACCAGCGGCACTACATGAGCTGTGATGCCGACCCTGCTGG